TGTTGGAAGAATTTGAATGGAATTAGTCCTTTGGTTTTCTAGTGTTTTCTCAGAGTAGAAGAAAGCAATCTTTTTAGATGTGTGTTTTATATATATATATATATATACATATAAAATGACCCAGATCTGGAAATCATTTGAGTATCAGAGAAAATCCTCTGGTTTTAATAAGTATGTTGACTGGTTCTTCTTAAGCTACCAAGGTTTGAATATTATACATCAATTATAAGTATTTCCAGTGAAATATTTAATGGAAAAACAGATTATTCTCTTATTAGTTTTTCTCTTTTATTGGGTCAGCTTTTTCCTACTGATACTGAAAGATTTGCTATTTAGGAGGTGGACTAGGGTTATCAAATTGTAACACGTAGCTGATGAAGAAAACTAAATAAAGACCTGATTCAGAAATCAGCTTGCTGATTTGGAGACCTCATTCTCCCCTTATAGTTTAATCAGTAAACTGATTACATGTCTAAAGGATAGCAAAAATTAAATAAATAAAAGGCAGGGAGAATACATAAAGAAGTGCCTAGAAAATACTTTTTTTTCTTTCAGTAACTTCTATGTGAGCTTTAAAGAAAACAGATTTTTAAATACCTTCAGGAGCCATATCTCCTCTCTATCAGCTTTTCTGAGCAACTAGACTTCTGAGAAGCTAAACTTGACACTGCAAGTGCCGCGTGTTTTGCACAGCTACTGTGGGGCATACGGAATGATGTCTTAGGGCTATCATGGTACTGTTCATTAACAGTTAAAACAAAGATTACTGGGATAACTGAGTATTTCTCCATATATTACAGTAAATAAAAAAAGCACTGAAAAGACTATTGCACAGATATACTTGTCTTCAAACTAACTGGATACGATGAAGGTTAGTCTTAGGGTGAAAAATGAGAAATAGTGACATGGCTAAGCTACTACCATTGGTCATATCTGCTAAAGTGGTGAGAATGGCCCTTCCTATCTGTTAAAATTGGTGGATCTGTCAAAATTAAGCTAAACAAAACCAAAGGCTCTTGTGAACTGCAGTGGAACAAACTATCTATCTTTATTTATTTATTTATTTAACTTTATTTTATTTTTCCCAGGAAGCGGGTAGTCCGTGACCCCTGCCGGGACACAGTGCACGTTTCTGCCCGCTGCCGGCTCGGCTGAGCTGCACTGCTTACTGAACCCCGAGAGGGTCATTCAAGGGTAAAGTCCTGTGGATACGAAGAAAAATAGCTCTGGTACCATGAAAAAGCCTGGCTAGGTAAACAACTCTTTTTTCTTTCAGCTCTGGAATTCAAATTAATACGTGACACCACATAGCCCATCAATATGTTCTTTCAGATAGTTATTTTGATAGAAAGGAAATAATTTATTAGCATAGAAGATTTAATTGTTAAAATAAAATTCCAGTGAAAAAATGGAGGGTTTGGAAGTGCTGAAGCAAAAGAAATGAATCAAATACTGTTACTTTCTTGATATAATCATTTACTCAGATAAGATGATTGTCTGAGACAAGGTGACTGATTAACAGTATTGTTTATCCACAGATCAGATTTGGACAAAACAGAATTAAACTCAGCATGTATTGTTACCGTGTCCAAAATAATATATATACACAATGTGAAGACCTTGTTTAAATGTTATGAAGGACCAAAACAACCTAATGGTCTCTTAATAATACATCTCTCTCTGTAAAACTTGACCTCAAATAATAATAGAGAAGAAACAACGTACAGCCTCGTTAGGAATGTTTATCTCCTGCTGACATGTGTGGGCCTTACACATATACCCTTGTTCACAGTTTGGCACTGTAATGGCTTTGAACCTGCAACAGTCAAGTTAATGAGGGAAAATCTCACGTCTGGCAACAGTGCAAAGTCAGCTCCAAAATCCTGCCAGTGATATTAAAAAAAAAAAAAAGGAAACTTTTTTTTTTTCCCAAAACATTTGGATATATCTATTTACCACATTAAAACTTCACAACAAGCAGGTAAAACATAAAATTTCACTCATCCTGACACAGTTGCTGTTCCTGAAAAATACCTACCAGCTCTTTAAAGGTTAAGAAACCAATGAAGAAAAAAAAGAAAAAAAAAGAAAAAAGCCCATTCAATCTCTTTTACTTTTGTGTCTTGCATTCATTATCATTTCAAAAAAAAAAAAAAAGTTCTCTTAATTTGAAATTGGCTATAAAGAAGAACAAAACCATCCAGAACAAAGCAGAAAATACCATTTGATTATCTTGATTGCATCTTGCACTCGGTTGTACGGTCTGTCTCTAAACTCTGACTCATCTGCCACCAGCAGGCTTTAAGGTGATAATCACCCACACAGAGCTATTTGCACATCATGTCAATCCTAGCCCATGCCTAATTATACCCTTTATAACTAACTGTTTAGCATAATTAGTGGAATTATGCTTTACAGGAAAAAAGATAGAAGCTATAGGTTAGAAGATTAAAGCTTTTTGAAGGCATACATGAACAAACTAGTAACAGTGCTGTTTGCTCACAATAATGAACATTTTGATGCACTGGCCTACATAAAATTGTACAATGATTATTTACAGGATGTAAAATAATGTAAATTGTATAATATTTACATTCTGTATGTAGACATTGCTGATCATAAAAGCTTAAAAATTATGAAATGGTTTTGGGACTCATTAATTGCTAACACTCTCACCAGTATTTTTCCAGACATGGCTGAAAAATGCTGAAAGGACCAGCATTGGAGTCAAGAATGCTGGAAATGACCAGAGAACCTATTATCCGACTGATAGACAACAGCAGGTACAAATGACCTTAATGGGAAAGCTCTGATTGAATTATTTTTTTCTAGATGATCAGAAAGGATGTTTACTTAATGACCACTCTTTCTTTGTGTTCACTCTTTATGATGTGCTGCTTTAATACAAGATCCTTTGAGGTAAAACAAAACAAAACAAAAATCCCAGAAGGATACATATATGTGCACAGAGGTAAATATATTTTATATTCGTGCTGGGCATGCTTGGTTTTTGTTTTAGGAGTGTTCAATGCACACCTCTTTGAAGGGGCATCCTCTTTGTATGCTGGCAGTCCCGTGCCCAGGTCCCTCCTCCCTGCCGTATGCGCTACGAAAAGCTTGGAGTGCACAAAACCCAACTCCCCAGTTAGTGTTTGCAGCCAGGCAAAAGCAAACCCAAACTGCATCTCCCCTGAGTAACTTCCTTTCCTTGGATGTTGAAAAAGTCTAGTGGTATGAACTGAAACATTTGACTAGCATAGGTGAAAGAAGAAATCATGCAGAATCCATTAAAGCAGCCACAACTAATTCACCTGGCTTATTTTTGTGTGTTAATTTTATTCTGCTAAATTATCTGAGAAAGCTGGTTACATCTATGGGGTCTATCCTTGTTTAATGATAATTCTGCTATTTCTGTCCTATAGGAAAGACGTTCAGAACATTGTGCAAGTCAAGCTGTATTTCCCTGAGTTTTTAAGAAAACAAACAAACAAAAAAAAACAACTGAAAAAGCGAAGGAGAGTAGTCTGTATTTACTTGTGCTCATGAAGAGAGGCTCATGCTTCAACCTTTCCAGGTAGGCAAATAAATTTGTTGAATTTTACCACATGTTATTTTAATACGTTTATAGCAGATTTATAATAATGCGTAGCCCTGAAGTAACTCCTGTGTTCCCTGTGGATGTTAGACAGAACAATCTCCATTTTTAATAGATAAGCAGTGCTAATCACTCCAGTATAAAATTCAAAGAGGTCACAACGCATCCTTTCAGGTCACCATTGCTTAAAAGATAATTGAGTTTCCCTATTAAGTTTTCAAAGGCCAACATCTGCTGATGCTCGGAAATGGCGGATGTGGTTGTATGGAGTGTAAAGTGAAAACACAGCCATATAGTCCATGCAACACAGTACTAGGAAACTAGAGCAAAACTAAGCTCCAAAGAGCTATTTTCCCATTTATCCCATTTCTGTTACTGATGGCAGGAGTGCTTCTGATACACAATTTGTGCTACTGTTATCTCACTGTGTTTTGTTTAGTTCCTCTTTTGATTATAAAGTAGGTGTGTAAACGCAAGATTTTGAACGTAGGATACTGCTACACATTTGCAGTTGTGCAAATGTCAAAGCAAATACTAAAGTGGAAAAATTACACAATTAAAATGGAAGGCTTTCCTTTCCAAGTTACTGTCCTTGCTGCTGTTTCACTATTTAAAGGCGTAAAACAGCTGCCGTGGCAATGAGCTGGTAGCACTGCTCACATTTATGAGGAGGCTACTTTGGGTGGCATTAAACTTGCTGTCTATAGGTTACAAATCAGTGCCTATTCGTGAGCTTAAGTTACCTGAGCTGATTTATAAATCGAGAGACCTGACCGTGCATCGTAAGAAGCAATGCAGCTTTATCCAAATTATTATGGATTATATGGAGCTGGATATCAGGTATGGGAAATTGTATTTTACCACAGTGATATTTTATCGTTGTGATAGTCCTGCTTTGCACAGAACTTCCAACAGATTCTAGCAAATATGTTACATGTACTAAACTGAAAACTGAAAAATGTTTTTTTTTATAAATTCTTCCATTTGAATTTACACACCCACCCACCTACACATGTTTACACACAAGTGCGCACACACAAAACTAATGATGCTATACTGATCCATCATCAACAAACACTTTTTGGGGAAAATATACTCAACAAATATTTTCTGTGGAACTGTCTCTTAATTCTCTGTGTTACACTCAGTTTTATAATATGCAGCTTTCATTTGGTGATCAAAAATGATCAGGAAATTTGTGCTGGAAAGGAGATACACTGTCCTGAGCAACCTTCTCTCTGATCACAATATATGGTTGCATTTTAATGTACTGCAGAAAGCCAATACTTTTCCAGTTCTCTATAAGGTTTCAGAGAAACACTGTCTACAACAGAAATGGATTGTGGGAAAATAGGTCCAAGAAGGTTGAATGACAATGCAAAACAATACTGTTTTTATTACTTACTACCAATACTGGAAATACTGGGTATACCTGTAGAGAAAGAAAGCAAAAAATATACTGTTAGCTATTTGCTGTAGTTGGCTGAGGTATTAAATCTAAGAGACTGCAAACGATTTTCTCCAGATTTTGAGAATGTTATATCAATAAATAGTTAAAAACAAACAATTACTGATACGTATCCAGACCTTTCTAAATGGCAAGCCTGTAGTTTCCTTAATATGAGACTGCAGGGACCACAAAAATGTATTGACAGATGGGTATTTCTGGGACCTAAACCAGCTCTCTGAACTTCATGGATTTGTTCAGAACACTTTTGTATTTGAACTAACCAGCCATTAGATTTAATGCCATGGATAAAAATATCAGTCATGCATGTATTATGCAGATCAAGGAAAATAATTTAACCAAGGGATAGATGACCCACTAGCTGCTTTGGCCAGCTGCTTAAATCATTAGATACCTTCTGTTGCATTGACTGTATAACTGTATATTGCTGTTATTTTTTCCCTCTTTTACCTGATGATTATCTCAAATAAGGTATAGAAAAGAAATGTAATTGAGCAAAATGATCTAATGCATTAGACTGCTCACATTGATTAAACCTCTTATTGATTTTTTTGCCTTTGCTTCCATCCCCATGCTGAGTTAATGTAAGGAAATCACCCTGAAGGCAGGGGGTATTTCCAGAAGTGGTGGCTCTGCTGAGGATTAAACCTCCTCTCTCAAGTCAGCAAATTCCCATATTGCAGGATGCAGTCCCACGTTTAGCTTGTAGCTCTGCGTACCCCTGAAGGATGCCTGGCAGAGAAATATGATGTGAAACCTTTTCTGAAATCTCATCTTCTTTAGATAAAATGGCACCATGAATGGCACTACTGCTAATCTCCTGGGCTGGAGCCACAAATTGCAGCTCGGTGCTTAAAACCTGGATATTTGCATCCTCTCAGTTAAATACCGTTCGCTTTTTGTAAGGTTTATGGACGCTTGATGGCTTGCATTTTACTGCAGAAATCTGTCTATTTCTCCATTAAACATCTGCTCTGCTTCTTCCAAAGTCTTTTGTGAAGTTGTGTCTAACTTGGAGCTGGTTTGGACCTCATTCTGCAGTTAAGCAAGCTGAGAATAAATCACATTTGCTGGCAGTGAGGTTGTAAAGTCAGGTCGGGAACCTTCCTACGTTGCATCGTGGCTAAGACAGTGCTGGAATAATTGCATTTGCAGCAGGATCTCTTGTGTTGCGCTATGTCCACCCTGGGCACATGTATACCCAGCTAGAGCTTTTATATCCCACATGGAGCCTGTGGCCTGGCAGAGTGCCGAGCACTGCACTGGAGACAGCACTTGCTAGCAGTGAGCTTCATATACTCAGATGCTCTTTGTAAAATTAATTATCTTTTCTTTCTTCTGAGATTAGCAAGATTCCAAAATTCTAGAATCATGTAGTAAGTATTAAAAGATAAAAACATCATTATAATAGAAAAAAAAAATGCTATTAACTTTCTAGACACAACAAAAAGTTCTTATTCCACTACTGTAATTATCAGTTGGAAGAGATTATCAAAATAAAATTCCTATCCCTTTGCCTTAAATGTCAAAAAAGCAATCAATTTTAAAACTGTTTTCCCCAAATATTCTAATAGCAACTTATTTACATTTTTGCAAGTCATGTAGCTTAGTAGTAAATGTAGCTCATGTAGTAAATTACCAAAATTCATTTCCCTCTATACACTGATGGAAAGTGCAGCAATAGGAGCTAAAATACAGATACTGTATTCTCACACTGCCGCTGTAAAATGGTATTTCCTTTGAGTCTTCTCCTCTCCCCATGCTTCAGCTCTCCTTCTTCCATGTGGACATTCAAATGTCCTTCCTCTCCAGGACAAGCTGTAGCAAAGGGAGAGGTTTCCATGCAAACCTGCACTCCTGTTTTTACTGTATTTCAAAATTTGCATTGACTTCATAGTGAAAAACACTTCCTAGGAAGGCAATAATGAAAACAAGATGCCGGCTTGCCTGAAGTGCTCTGCATTAATGTTGCTAGGTTGTCTTCAGGTGCTGTTTGAAAAACTCTTTTGCTATTTCCGTGCAGAATTGCTGGGACCTTCTTTAACCAGCTTGATTTTTGGAATACCTGGTTTCCCTGTGTGTTATGACCTGTCTTGATTAGTGCACAACTTCATAAAGAGCATGGAAGTGGCATTTCTTAGTTTTCTAGAAAAGAGACGATTCTGTAGGGCCATGAAACAGGATCTATTAATACTCCGTGAAAAATAAAGTGCACATATGTTTGTGGCCAGGCTGCCCTGAGGTACCGCAGCTAATGGAGCTGCCCCGAGCTACCATGGCTTGTGGGGCTGCCTTGAGGGAGTGCGTCTCACGGGGCTGCCCTGAGGTACCGCGGCTACTGGGGCTGCCCTGAGGTACCACGGCTCGTGGGACTGCCCTGAGGTACCGCGGCTCGTGGGGCTGCCCTGAGGTACCACGGCTCGTGGGGCTGCCCTGAGGTACTGCGGCTCGTGGGGCTGCCCTGAGGTACCGC